TTTATGGGAGAATTATCAGGCCATGTATAAGTTTACAAACCAACCCCCTAACTGTGTGAAGGCAGCACAGCAGGTGAAGCATGACACTCGGGTCATAAGCTCACACTGTTCCGAGTGACAGAAGATCTCGTGGGGAGACGGAAACGAGACCTCAGACTCTTCGGGTTGTATTAAAGGTTCAGTGTGTAAAATGCAGTGACATCTAGAGGTGAAGTTGCACGTTGCAGCTGAATACTTCTCACCTCACAGTAAAAAACATGGCGGCCTCCACAGAGAGGACCCCCCCTTCGTAGATACACACACACACAGGGAGTCAGAGGCCAGGCTGTTAATGGTGGTGGTCCGGCGCTCCACACTGGGATCTGTGTTTAGCCATGTTTAGAGCTCCATTTGGGGCCAGATAAATCAAGCTGCTGTCTACCAGAAGCCTCCATTAGGGGCCCGCCGAGGCCCCTGGACGGCCTGTCAGTCACCCCGTCAGTCAGCAGGCTGCCCTCTTCCAGCGTTTGAACTCCTAATTACAGGGAGTCTCAGCGCGGCTCGGTCCGGCCCAGCTACCGAGCCCCCCCACCCGCCTCCCAGACGGCAGCGTTCGCTAGCCCAGCGCTAATGCTAATACTAACAAACGACGGACGTTTCACCTCCAGAGGAAACAGCGCCGGGAAAAATATTTATGGAAAAAACCGAAAAGACCTCGCTCCCTTTTTTTCTGCCCCTTTGGGCCTCTCTCCATCCAATTCCACAAACTCCTCTTCGAAGCTTTTAGTTTTTACTTCTTTGATTGACAGTCCAGGGTTTCCCCCCGCGATTCTGAGAGAGCACGTTAGTTAGTAGAGGAGCATAAGCGCCATGCTAACCTCTGTCTGCCACAGATTAATCAAACACCAGTTAAAGGGGAGAGGTGTTAAACACAGGGGCCGCGATGACTGATGGCTTTTTAAGGAGTGACTGGTGGGGAGAGGAAAAACATCTCAGATCACAACAGGAGACAGAAACACGCTCGGAGCGGAGCTGGAAATTAACACTGACAATCAAACAGGCTGGTGAGTTCTGCCTGTAGCCGGTTTGTCTTCTGTAAAAGTCACTTTAACTCGTAACAAACAATCATTCATGGGTCTCGCTGCATTCTGAAAGTCATCAATCATATTCGGCCGGTCAGACAGTTCAAACATCGGGTGTATTTTGGAATCCAGCCACAGTGGTCGGCAGATGAAAAGTTTCCTGCGCTTACACATACAGACACATAAAGTCAGACGTGGTTTGCTAGCTCTCAGGAATTCATGAATAAAATATAGGCCCATAAAGGCAGCATGAACAATGGAAATATTATCCTGTGCTGCATAAATGCACAGCCGACCACAAAGTATTCTCACAGGGAGCTCATTCCTCTTATCTCTGACGGCTCGTCGGCGATGACCGGCCGCTGCGTGTGGAGACACACACACACACACACACTGCTAACAAGGGGGACCCCCCCCACACACACACACACACACACACACTCCCCATCATCTAAGATTGATGCAGAAAATTTACCCAGCAGACATTCCTCCTGGCTGAAATGAAAGAGGTGCCTGGTTCACCAGCATTCCTGATTGGCCACACATTCCTTTACCATTCTAACTGCAGTGTGATTGCTGGCATGAAGCCGCCGCGAGTGCTCGAGGTAAACACCAGCAAAGTTTCTACTTCACAAACAGACCCATGAAATTCACCTGGTGACAGTTGTTGCCTTGTAATGACAGGATAACAGTGAGAAGAGGCAGCGACCCATGTTCCACTGAGCAAGGCATCAAACAAGCTAATGGGGAGCTTTAAGGTCCACATGTTTGAACTATTATTTTCAGATTTGTTTCCCATATCCTCGAAAAGCCACAAGTAAAGCTGCTTTCAAACATGCACTGAACGCTCTGGAAAATATTTGGAGAGGCTGAATGTGAGAACACCTACGTCAGAGAGTTTCTACTGCCAACCCCCTAGTGAGGACACAGCAGGAGATTATTAGGAGGATTCACTGTGAGCGAGTGGCTGCCTCGATGACGTGTCACCTCGTCTGACTGCTACAGATATTTTTCTTTGTCGTGAACACGTCTGAGCAAAGAATCTCCTGCTGTGTTCATCATATGTGAAAAGAAAACTCGGACAAAGTTCACGTTCCTTCAGAGTTCATGTCTGAAAACTGATCAAGACACAAGAACAAAATGTGAACTGATAAAAATTGATAAAAAAAAAATACAAATAAATAAAAATGAATGAACAGAAACAATGATCAGTTAAAGCAGTGACAGAAATCATGGAGAGAAAACCCACCCAGTTAAATTGAAATAACAAGGGGCACAATAAATAATCAGATTAAAAACTTATTTGATTTTAAGCGAATCCAGCTGCTCTGACATTTTATTTGAAATCACGGCTGTGATGTCTCCTCAAGAAATCTGTCCTCTTCCAAATAACCAAACAGCTGAGTCGGCCCCGGCCTTGGCAGCATGACTCCTAATACTGACATGAATTATTAATTTGACGCATTCATCACTCTTCCGACCAGCCGTCGATAGCCTCCATTATGGCGGGTGTGTATACATTACAGAGTGTATAGTGTGTCAGAAACTTCCCGCATACAAGCGGCAGGATGGCGGGAATGAGGAAGACGCAGACGGAGGGAGAGGGAGAGAGAGAGATGAAGAGAGCGAGAGAGAGGAATGGGTGATGGACAGAAGTGACAGCAGAAAGCATTATTAGCTTGAGGAGGAAACCAGAGCTGCGAATCAGGCAGAACGAGAGAACGAGAGAGAAACAGTCGCACTTTGACCCGAGTGATGAATCTGTGATAATACAGTGAAAGACCTCGGCAGGTTAGAAGCCTCAGTTCGGGATCTCAAAGCACCGACAGTTCCAGACTGTGTTGGTTCCTCTCTAGCCCGTCTCAGGAAACATAGCTGGTGAAGTATTAACACAGTAAGTGTTGCTGATTAAACTGTTATGGCAGCTTACATCTAACAGAGCAACCATATTAACATTTAAGGCAGACGTGTTTAGATCCGTTTCCCTGATGGTTTATCCTGGCGAGTACCAAACTAATCCGAGGTGAGCTCAGTTTATTTGGGTAAGAATGGCATTAACAGCATCAGCAGCTTGATTAATTTCCTCTCATTAAGCTCTGTGAACTCTCAACACTAACGTGCACTGAATTAGCGTTTAGTTAGAGCGGCGTGCTGGACAGAGAGAGCGACTCTGATCACAGAGCGCCAAGCGGTGACGTACCGGCAGCTAATGAAGACATGATGTCACAGTGCCGCGCTACACTAACGAGAAGCTAATGGACGGCGGAGTTGATGACCGACAAGCTGGCCTATAGAATAAACAGCAGGGGCAAGGAACCATCACTTTGTCACACACTCACACTCTCACACACACACACACACACACCACAATGACACATGTAGTTCCACCCTCCCATAAAGTTAAACAAAGGGTGAAACAAAAGCTTAATGGCTGTTTTGTATTAATATCAGCTTGACTCTAACCTCAACTACAGCGCACACACACACACTGTCTCTCTCTACAGGGGTGTGTGGGTACAAGTGTATCAGCAGTTAATACTATTAATATTAATAACTAATGTGACTTCATGTCTGTGTGTGTGTGTGTGTGTGTGTATTGTGCGCGCGTCCAACTGGGTGTGAGCTCACAGCTAATCATCTAAAGGGAGGAAGTCCATAAATCAGCAGAATACAACTCTCACACTGTAAATCTATGCTAACACGTCATCGCTGTGTGAGAGTGAGTGTGTGTGTGTGTGTGTGTGTGTGTGTGTGTGTGTGTGTTAATGAGAGACAGAAAAAGACTGACTCTACAAGGTAAAGAAAAAGAATCACATGCAAAAGTCAAACAATCCACAGAAAGTTTGCTGATGTGCAGTCATGTCCTCCAGGGGACACTGGACACTGTTATCAGATCCACACGTTCCTGCTCAGCTGCAGGGTCTCCTCTCGGAGGAATGCTAATTAGATGGCGGAGCGACTGAACTTTCAGCAAAAACTTTCTACTTCCTAAAACCAATCTGCTTTTATTAGCAATGTGGGCAATTGAGTCCCCGCACAATGTGTGTGTGTGTGTGTGTGTGTGTGTGTGTGTCGGACCTGGCTGTAAGTGGCATCCAGCAGTGTGTCGAGGTTCTGCAGTGGTGCAGGGGTTTTGTCCTTAAATCGAGTCAGCAGGCGGCGCTGGATGGCTCTGAACTGGACCGCTCGCTCCGACAGCAGGTCCTGGTACTGCTGAGCACTGACACGCAGCTAACACACACACACACACACACACACACACACACACACACACACACAAACGTAAGTTCTTTGGATTCAAAGGATGACACACAAAGCTTGAGTCGTTCATATTTGCTCCCTGACATCTACAGTATATATGATGTTGTGTGAGTGATTGTACCTGGAAGTGGCGGTCGACTGACAGGAAGTACTCCTGCAGCGGTAACGGTCCACTGAAGCTTTTCTTGAAGTCCTGGACTCCCAGTTTGGCGAAATGTTCATCGAACCTCTGAACCAGCTCCTTCACCACCAGCCACATGTCCTCAAAACTGTCGCTCTGGATACGGTAACGCTCTGACAAACAAACGGCCGCATTTAAACCAGAGCAAAGACAAAATAATAACCAGGAACGACTTTGAAACTGAGCTGGTGCCTATGGTTGTACAGTAAGTACTGTTTTAAATGTGTGATAAATACATGGTAATGTTACCTAAGAAGTAAAAACCACTGATACAGATAACATTTGGGAATGCCCTCTAATAAAACACTGAAAATACTTAAACCAGAGGTGAATCAGAGATTTCCAGAGATGTGGAGATGGAAGTAAACCACCAGTGAGTTATTAAAATCCTGCTCATCTTTGAGTTTGACTCACGGGAGGTCTTGGAGGCCACCACAGTAACTTTGGCTCCCGACAGGAACTGCAAAGCCAAAGTATTCCCGTCCTTATCTTCTGATTTCTCTGAAAACTCTGCGGAGAGAAAGAGACAGAGAGCAGAGTGATGAGACAGATAAGAGGGCGTATCATGATCCAGGACGCCAACAAAGGTGAACGATATACAGTCACACTGTTCACACAAAGACGCACAATGTGAGCGGGAATCAGCTTACACACATCACAGCACACACAAGAGCGAGTGTGTGTTTAGACGTCAGAGCTTCTGATTGTAGCCGATTGTCAGATAACAAGGAATGGTTCACACACACACACACACACACACTGAATAACAAATAAATAAACATTAGTAAACACATTCATACATAAATACACAACCACACAAAATTCACAAAAGTGTAAACACATTCTCACAGCTACATTTCTCTCCCTCCACGAGCTTCCTATGCACGCTCATGACGTTTGGATTTGTGTATCGCCCTCTGGTGGCCATTTCACTCGACCTGTGTCATTAAACAACCTTAGTTGTATGTGTGCAGGTGTGCAGTGAAGAGATTTTGAAATGGTGACATCTCTTACTGTTTGAAACCACATTCATCCACAGGCTTATGCTGCTTTCAGACATGTCATGAAGTCTGGACCTTTTCCCTGGAATTCACAAGATGGGTCTGTATGTGAGGACGCAAAGATCCAAGTGACTGAGCCGGTTGCTTTGGACATTTCCCTGAACTTTTCCTGCCAGTCCGCAGGAAAAATGTCTGAACTATGTAAGAAACTTGACAAACATGAAAACTGGAAGAATACGAATATCTCAGGATGAAAAAGAGAAGAAGCAGACGTCAACTTATAAAGATGAGAAGAGTGAATTTGGGGATACAGGCCGACACCAATGTTGATGTGGATTAAACAAAAACACGGAGCTTTCTGGACCTGTTGTTGTAAACACATCTCACCCGGATGATGTCCGGCTGCGTTCTTTCAGCGTGAAAGATTTAAATCCAGAGTTAAGGGAAACATTGCAGCACCAGCAAAGCTTTGTGATCACGTGTCTGGACGCGTATGTCCGTGTATTACCCGGGAAGATGGCGTTGAGGTCGACAGGCGGCTGGTTGGTATCCACGGTGATCTTAAACTTGGTGCTTTTGGCCGGAGAGGAAGGAACACACACCAACAGAAGAGGAAGACTGAACCTGGACTGGAGAACCCTGGGAACTCCTGAGGAAAAGAGAATCATCAATACTTAAAAACATCTTAAAATTGACTTTATGTTTTTTTTACGTAATGTGTTTCTTTCCATTTTCCATCTTGTAGAACTGCCACTGACCTGCCAACGCTTGTGGAGGGTCTCGTCCCTCAACACTCACAAAGGCACGAGGAAAAGATATTTCTTGCTAAATACAAACTATAAAAATATATGAAGTTGTTTTCTTTATTTGATTTGTTTTGGATTTATCTTGCGTCATTTACGCCACTCTTCAATCTCCCCCTCCTACATCTTTTCCTGAAAAACAACCTTAAAGCCACAACCCACTTCCCCTTTAAGTGGCGCCCATCTCGACCAAACTCCCCTACGGCGAATCAAATGAGGTCGGAACATCGCCTTTTAGGCTTTCTCTCCAAACAGCAGTCAGGTTAACATTTGTTAACATAGTCAACACTGCAGATATTCAGATTACATGAGTATCTGAGAGCTACGAGACCGAGAGACTCAACATCAACACCAAGTGTGGAGCAGGGGGGGGGGGTGTTTGTCAAAGATCCGAAAGGGAAGTTTTGTGAAAAGTGGAGTGAAAGTTTGAGAAGGGGAAAAAAAAAAAAAGAGAGAGAGGGGAGCTAAAGCCAACTATAACTATGTTCTGAGGCTACGCAGTGCTGAGCTTGGCAGAAATCTACACTTAGCTAGAATAACAGAGCGAGGGTAAGGAGGGAAAGGAGGAAAACAGTTGTTAAGAAGAGATGGAGGAGCGACGGAACCTGGGGAGAGGAGGTGAGCTAACGACAGGAGAGGGAGAAGACCTGAGCTGGGCACAAAGAAACGAGTGGAAATTAACCAGAGGGAGGGAGAGACTGAAAGAGAAATAACACGAGAAACAGCAGCCGAGGTGAAGTTTAATTATGGAATGTTCCAGGTTATTACAGATAGTAATAATTACCTGCAACTACTGTGCACCTTTTCATTCCAGACATGAAATTATGATGTGATTATGTGAATAACTCAGTTTGGTTTGAACACATGAGCTGCGGCAGAGAGGGAAGAGGTAGAGCCAAGAAAAACAGAAGGACACGAAGAGAAAAACGTTTTTTGAGAGGAAGAAAGACTCGAGCACTTTTCATTTCTCTCCTCACTCGCTTGATTTCTCATTGACCCTTCGTCCTGGGTGACTGAGCAGTTAAACAACTAATCACATCCAACAAATAGAACAAAGAGAGTCAGATGCACACGTCAGAGTGAATATGAAGCATGTTTCTTAATATCAGAAGCGAAAACCTCGTAATAAAAGATGAAAATTATCCCTGTTGGAAAAATAACGCTGTGAACAAAACATTAAACTTCTGTTTCTAAGTTACAAGAGTGTGATTTTCGTGATTTTATTTCAAACCACACAAGTGTGTTTTTAACTTTGACGGTAAGCAGAGTAGACGTGATGCACACTGGGATAGATTGGCCGACTCAAGCAGGTTTCAAGTCTCTCCAAGTTAAATTTTATAACATACAGAGATGAATGAAACCACTGGCTGCCTGAGAGGAAGCTAAAAACTCTGAGGTTTGCTCTGGAAGGCGGTCAACCCTGAAACCACAGTAAATTCTAAAGTAAATGTGATATGTAATGAATGGATGAATGCAGGTAGAAACAGGGTCCCACCTGTCAACAGACACACTGAAGTGTCCCTTTGCTCTTCATTCAAACTCACTATCCATCCAACAGGCTGCTTCATTTCTGTTGGTCAATCGCCTTGTGTTTACTGTGCCTGCATTTTAAAAAACCTGCGTATTCCCACTAACTTAGAAATAAAAAAACACAACGATCCAGTGAGGCCAGTTTACTGCATCGATTAATTGAAAGGATTAACAGACAATCGACACTCAACTCAAGTAAACTTCTGGTTTTCTCTCTCAGGTAGTCTGGGCTTTTCCTCCTTACTCTGCAGGTACGTCTGACTCTACAGCTGCAGGATCCAGATCTGAAACTATTTCGACGATTATCATACGATTTATTGTCTGGACCTCTGCCACAGAGGTGATGTTTTCATCTGTGTTTGTCAGTTAGCATGATAAAACCAAACTCACTGGATGGATTGTACCACAGAACCTGGGGGAGAGACACACTATTATAAGCCTTACGGAAAAAAAACAATACATTTTGGTGCAGAACCAGATTAGACAGAGGAATTTTCTCAAACTTGGCGAGAAGGAGTGTTTTTAAACATTTCATAGATCTTGATGAAAGAAATCTGGTTCATTTAGAGGACTGACATTTATCAGGTTCAAATAAAGATTCTGTGTAATTTAAAACCGGGACTGTTGAGCTTTGGCAGAAGTTACTACTGTTGTTAAATGGTGCTCCTATCATCATTAATAAAATTATTACATCTGAGCATCACGACAACTATTGTCATGATAACAGTGATTGAATGACTCTGGTTCTGTCTGACGGAGTTGGTTTCTCTCCACAGTCGCCAACTGTGGACGCTTGTTCGTTGGCAACCTCAAAATAATCCTTTTCACTCAACTACTTCAACTGTCCCTGCTCTAACTTCATTTTCCTCTTCTGTGAAACACATTTCATGTTTTCTGATCAGTGTGAACGGTTGAGTTCCAGCAGACTCAAATGTATTCTGTGTCTGCTAAGGTCACATCCTCAGTCACGTCACTTGCAGCAGGGAGCCGAATTTCAATCCTGGACCAGAATCTGGGTCAGTCGCCATGGAAATGAATAAGAGCTGCATCACTCTCCTACGTAAAATGTCAGAGTTTTATTCAGTTTCGATGACACAAAGGTTGACGAGATACAGTGGAAAGAAAAGCAGCAGATTGATGGAGCTTGAGGAGATGATTCAGTCGAGAAATCTGGGACGGAGGCCTGCGCGGAGACTGAAGCCAAAGAGTGAGTAAGTGACTAAATACTGTTTCTCAGTTACAGTAAACTGAGGTTACTGTGTTTGTCTTACAGATTCTTCAATTCATTCTCTCCTTGTCTGGATCTACAGCCGCCTGTAATCTGCTCTGAGGGATGTTTACGTTTCTGGGGGTGCAGCTATGACTGAATCCACATATACATCACATACTGTAACATCTGACCCCTGACCTTTCCCCTGACAGTGGCCTGTGATACTGCTGATACGGGAAGCGGAGCTTTGTCTACTGTTAAACACACTTAACATCACAACTGAGCACCACTGCTGCTACTTGTTAAAGCCGCTGGAGCTCCACTGTGCTGCCGTCTCAACGGACTCTGATTCCAATTATCTGGAATCTGTGTTTGTGTCTGCGTGTGTTCGAGACGGAGGCGGGAAAGAGAGCGGGAGACCACAGAGTTTATTTGAGTAGAGGAACATCGTACGGGATCAGGTTCTTAACACAGCTGCAGTGATGTCAGCGTGTGTGTATGACTTGATGTGTATCGTGTGATTGTGCATCTTTTCATCATTTCCCCTGTGAAGTCACAGCACAACCCAATCTTCAACAAATCACAATAATACGTTTATATTACACATTTTTATGTATTGTTGATTTGTCTGAAACAGGCCTGTTCAGAGCCAGAAGGTCCAGGTGGGAAATTCTGAATGACTCACGGACACGTGTTGCCCTCGAGCACAGATCACGTCCCAGTCTGTTGGATTCTAATCAGACATTTCTTCTGACCGAGACCTTTTCCCAAACTTAACCAAACTGTAAAACAATGCTGCAGCACGGACTCGACATCTGAGTTTCCAAAATCAATACGATTTTCAAATGAAAATCACAACATGTGACTCAAAAACACTATTTTATGAAAAAAATGTAGATTCAGACAAGCGAGCCAAAAACTGTCAAACACAAGGAACCAGACATTTTGAACAGTAACTCAAAGTTAAACCATCAACTGGACTCGTCTCCACAAGAATGAAGCCAAAATATCTTGGACATGAAAACTGCCATCTCGCACTTTTGATTTTATTTTCTCAATGTAATTAAGTCTCTTGTTTGTTTAACTGCTGACAGACACCAGTTGTTGTCAGTTATAATAAAATGTCTCCAGTATCACAGAGTCTCTTTAGAAGAGTGTGTTTTCAGCCACTTTAAATTCCACCTTCACGGTAGACGACGTTTGTTTAATTTTCTCTTGTGCCGACTCTCTGCACAGCATCTCACCTTCGTTCACGTTGACCAACTCTGGACTTACTTTTTATCTTCATGACCGAGAGGCTGAAGAAAAACATTTCATTTCGAAAGTTTAGGTTCCCTGGAAACATATTTTGCTGATTCAAAGATCGCTGCATGTTGGTTTGCAGTTGAAGAAAGAAAACAAGATGCTGCATGATTGTATGTGTTTGTGTGTGAAAATATATGTGTGCGTGTGCGGTATGAGTGTGTGTGTGTGTGTGTGTGTGTGAGTGTGTGTGTGCATACTACTGCTTCTAAGCCCACTATAGATTACAGGACATCCTATTCTGTATCAGAGCACACAAACTCAAATGGACTAAAACAAACACTGGCTGACGACTAGGAACACTACGGCTGACACACAGTGTGTGCGTGTGTGTGTGTGTGTGTGTGCGTGTGTGTGTGTGCGTGAGAGAGGGACAGATGATATTTCTGTGTAAACTGCACACAGTAAAAGAGGAAAATGGATATTTACTTATTCCACACAGTGAGGAAGTGTATATGTGCGCACAAGTATCTGCACAAGTGTGTGTACAGACTCTTGCCAAGTATCACGTTACAGGAACATAAACAGCAGGCAGTGGTCTCTTCCTGTATATACAGTAGAGTGTGTGTGTATTGGAATGCATATATATATATATATATATATATATATATATATATATATGTATATGTGGTGCAGTTATGTTTTTACGACTGCACACGAGTGAATGTCCCGAAATACAGCAAATGTAGGTCGACATATTTGTGTGTGTATTTCTACTTCTTCTATTTTCTATTCTATCCAGCACTTCAATCTACCCAAACACTTACCTTTCGGGTTCAGCTCTGCAGAGAGGAAGAAGAAGAAGAAGAAGAAGAAGAGAAGAATTTAAGGTTAAAAAAAAAAACAGACAGAAAAATAGCAGACAGAAGAAAGAGGTATCACTCCTGTCTAGTTTTATTCAGTGCAGAGCAGTAACGAAGCAGCGCTGGACGAGGGCCTCTGATGATCAAACGGGGGTGGGGGTGGGGGTTCCCTGGGAAAACCTCATATGGACATGAACAAAAAAAGTAGAAAAAGTCTTGGTTCGTCTTCCCACACACTTGGAAAGCTCTGCTGGAGGAGAACGCAGCCTGCCAACGCAGCCAAAATCATCCCGACGATTGATAAACTGTCCAAACCCCAAATTAAATAGCTGCTCTTCATGAGGTGAGTATGAAATTTGGTCTGACAGGATCTGGACGAAAAAGGCACCTATCCTAATATAATTATCAGCATTGAGAGTTTCGTCAGTTTAAAAAGAAGAGAAGCTACTTGAGAAAATGAGAATACTTTGTTCGACTCAAAATTAATTTTTCTAAAGAGATCCTGACTGATAGAATCACACTGACACCAGAAATGCTCTGGCAGTTGAATGGAAGTGAACATTTCCAAGAAACGTTTGAGTGATGAAAACCAGTCTGGTCACTTGTGTTTCTGTTTCATCTGATCTGCAGCTGCGTCTGTCAGTGTTTTTGAGTTCTGTAAATTAATCTTGACTTTCTTTACGTCGGCCAGAGAGGTTATGTGTTCCCTGCTGCCCATTTGTTGATTTGTTTGAAACTTAGTGGAAGGATGGGACAAGGGCCAAGACAGAACTCACTGTATCGTGGGACGTATCTGGAGCAGCTCCACAAATACTTGAATCACTTTCTTTAACATCGTGAGACGGGCTGTTTTCACCAATTTCCCAGGGAATAATTATTATAATAATAATGATTTGGTTTTTTTTTGTGTGTGTGTTAACTTTTAAATACCTGGATATGGAAGGAAATAATTACAGTCTACTTAGAGATCCATCAAATGAAGCAGCAACGTTTACAGACGAGTAAAACTGAAGGGGACATTTTTTTTTAATTTAGGGAGACCATCTCTTATCCTCCGCTCAGATTTTCTCAGCTGCTGTGGGATTCAAACAGTGAGCCCCCTGCTTCTCTAACCTTTAGGCCGCAGCAATTCAGGTCTGGCAGATTAGGCTCTGGTTTGATTGGTCGAAGAGGATTTCCTGCGAAGGTGAATGAGAAGCAGATGGCTTCTTGCAGGCCAATGAAAAGCCACGGAGGTGCTGAGTCAGACAATTCTCGAGTTATTAAACCTGATGAAAGTCGTGCTTCCTTTGCCGCCTTCTCTCCTTTTCTGAGGTGACGCTGCCTCTCCTGTCATATTTCTGCCTTTTACTACAATATCCTCCCAATATCCTAAACTTATAAATTAGAACAACCCAAATATAGAGTTACTATATTAACCAATGAAACAGAATTATAGATGAACACATCGGGACTTTACTGGTTGAAATCCCCTCTGACGAAAAAAACTGACAAATTCTCAAAACATTTAGCTGCATTATCTAATCCTACAATGCTTCCCTCTGTTCTTCCTTTCTCTGCATCTCCTCTCATCATTGTGCCAGAGAAAAGAAATAAAAAGCAGAATTTGAGGGAAGACGGGCCAAAAAATCAAAAGGCTAGACCAACGCAAGAAGGAAGGGAGAGAAAAAAGAAAGAAAGAACTGAAAGCATCAACGTTGAGTGAAAGCTCCAGTTAAACGTGGAGGACATGTCAAATGGAGCAAGAAGACAATCTCGGCACACACACACGGTAGCCAGGCTTGGCCGGCGTCCAGCCAGTGTTCAATCAGTCCTTCCTGTTCTGAAATCTCCTGAAACGGCGGAGAAATGAGTGAAACTCTGGATCCATTAGTTTGTGTGGCTGCGAAAAACATCTTCATTTTACAAGGAACTACTGAGAAAGTTGAGACGGTGTTTTTAAAAAATGAACAGAACAACAACGTGCACCAACGACATCTTTCAAAGTGTCTCTCTGTAAATTTTTACTGAACGCAGAACTGTAAAGTCATCTGAAGAAATCAACCTGGAAATTTAATAACCAGCGTTTATATCAACGATAGTGTTATAAATTTTTACGTGCATTTGCAAACAGCTCTGCAATAATTTCCCCATAAAGTCAAACCAGAAAAGAGAAACCTGCCAGATTTCTCTCACGTGCTGCAGCTCATGAGAAAACATTAAAAGTCTTTACATTACGATGTGAAAAAACTAAAAACCCTTTTTGATAAATGAATCACTTGTTCCTTTGGCCAGTGGCCTGAACTTTCCACTGACTCTCGAGTGAAGAGTAACAAACAGGGCTGAGGACACGGATTGGCAGAGATAGTTAGCAACAACACCAACAACATCAGCTGCCCAACAAAAGTTTCTTTCAAATAGATTTCAGACCTGGCAGCGAAACAAAGAGAGACCTTACGAAAATACTGGAGCCTCCTAAAGACATGGACATGTGGAGATGCTGGTCACTCTGGCAATCTCCTTGAAACAGGAGAAAACAATAAAGACTGCCAACTAGCTCCCAAGGCTTCCACACGAATTGGCTCAGCAACCAATGAATCATGGCTGGCCGTGTTTTACGGAAATTATCCGTGAAGTCGTAACTTATCTCTGAGTGCTCGGTTGAAAATTCCCATTGTGTATGAGGTAACAATGTACTGTAAATGCCAGCTTGACCACTTGATCCCTCTGAAGTGTGTTTGTGTGAAGCCCCATTGTCGGGGTGTTAGGAAAATCACAGAGGGCACTAATGAAATTCTTTCTAGATTGTAACGACTACAGCGACCGTCGAGACTTCTTTGAAGGACTTAAGGAGTCAGCAGTCTTCTTAAATGTCAGAGCCTTTGTAGGGCTTAAAGACGGCCTCAGCGGCCATGGGGTGGAGTGGTGTCGAGTGGGGCGGGTGGTGGTGGAGGCGTGATCGTCGCCCCTGGGTGGGAGCGGAGCGAGAAAGAAAGACATAGAGACAAAGTGATGCATTCCTCCCATTCCAGGAGAGCATTTAGAGGATGAGAGGAGACGAGGCATTAATGGAGATTAGCCCTGCAGGAACACACAGCCACAGAGTTACAGCCACAGCTCTTAAGGTGACCACTCTGCAGACAGGACTCTACATCGTGGTCAATCGTTGCAGGTCCGATGAGACCAGCAGACCTTTCTTAAATCCACTTGGCTGCTGCGGCTGACGGAGGATGTGTGTTTGTACTGCTGATCAATGGCTGTGTCCGAACTCAGGGGCCACATCCTCTGGGAGGAGGAGTCAGTCTACTGGGCGTAGAAGATGGAGGCCGAGAAAAATGAGGCAAACTGGTCTGTGGACACACATGCACCAGACATGTCAGCTGTCATGGCGATTGCGCCGACACGTGATAACTGCATTACTGTGGTTGAAATTAACACAGTTTTGCAAATGGTAGAATTTGTTTTCAGGCTCGATTTCAATTTTAGTCATATGATATTTCTTACACGGAAATCAGTTTAACAAAATATTTGATGGACGTACGAAAAGGAGCTCGGTGTCTTGTTTAAGGAAACTTTCGCCTTCTCAAGAGGTCACGGATCAAACCAGGAACCCTCAGATTACATTACTGTGCCTCCTGAGCCACGCCTTCCTGTTTCAACATAACAACGCCACTGTGCACGGAGCCAGATCCATAAAGAAATGTTTTCTCTGCAGCGTGGCCTGAAAGTCAAGTCCCAGTTTTGGGCTTTACTGTCCTGCGCAGAGCTTTGACCTAACTTAACACCATCCATCATCTTGCAGCTGACGGGTAGCGAACCATTGCAGCCAGGTCCCAGCTTTATACTGTTTGTCCACCTTTTACTTCTCAGGGTCCACACCTTATAAAACCCTCCGTTTCCCTCCTCTCTCATATTCGCCCTGGCATACGTCTACTTCCTGCCCTTTAACTTTTCAGTATAAAATACCTCCCTTCCTTTCTCTCCACCCAAGCTTATGTACATTTCTTCTCTTTTTCTACTGCTGAGCATAACTCACCTCCTCACCTGCTTCCCCTTGTTTAACTCAGTGCACCACACCTCTGTGCTTTTTTCCAATCCTGCTGTGTCTCTTTTTCCTCCGACCAAGAATAAACCTCTTCTAGTTATAACTCCAAACTAACAAGTCCCATCCAAAACACGAGCTTGGCTACACACTCTCCCCCAGCTGCTTCGCGTCTAAGGCTTATTGAAAAACACCAGACTCCATATTTTCAGCTATTTATAGCAACACAATAAGGTTTAACAAAAAATACACACTTCCCAACGTTTCCAGACATTTCACATTAAAAGTGCTTCTGGGGAGGGAAAACTGTTCCACCGACCGGCGCTGCCAAAGCAAATGTAATCCAAAGGAAACAATAGCATGAAAACATGGATTTTTTTTTTTTTTTTTTTCACAAGCTGCTTTTTAAAACGAATGCTGAAATCAGTATTTCAAAAAGGAAGTCTGTGACATTTGAAATAAAGAGTGGTTTTGTTGGTTTTCAGGGGAAAGTAATATCTTCCAGAAATATTGCAGGGCCGGGAAACAGATGCCTGGAGGGAGCAGGGGGATGAACTGGGTTTGTTTGGAAAGAGCCCAAATGTCATTACGTCAAGTCAGCAGCTGCTGTTCAGCACGGTTACAGTGGATGTGCACACTGCACAGACTGGACTGGATTACAGAAAGAACATTTATATATATATATATATATATATAAATATATATAAATATAAAAGCCTTTAACACAGTTACCATCTGCACACATGTCATAGCAGTTTGTGACAAATTAATTTGTGCTACAGAGAGTTCAGGTGAGCGTTGTTACGTGTGTGGATGAAACTTGTGTCGTGTAGGTATTTGTACCTGTCGGCGAGCTGTAGGACACAGTGATGTCTCCAGTGAGATCAGCGGGGGGGTAGCGGCCGTTGAGGAAAGCCGAAAACTTAACAACTGTGGAGGAGCCAACACCTGAAGAGAGAGAGGAATAAATGTCAACAGAGAAATAAATAAAAATGAATTAAAAAATAAATATAAATCTAGAGAAAATCAGGATCTAGTGAATTTAAATGTTTGTCATGAGGAGTATTACTCAACAAAGGTGTATAATGTCCTCCGGAGCTCTAATTACTTCTGAAAACATAACACTGCTGTTTCAAGTCATCGTGGGTTTGAGGTTTTCAGAGCTTTAGTTATACTCGGGACTAAAAGTCAACATCTCATGCTTTTATTAAATGTCTCGTGAGGTTTAGAATTGTGAGTGCAATGTTTAATCACTGGAGTTCCCCTTTAAGTAAGTTAAGTTAAGTAATGTGTTATTGGAAATGTAATTTAATTGAGGTTTTCTTATTTCTAGAACAGAAGCGGTTTTACTCCAACAGGCCTTGTAGAAAAAACATTGAATGATGGATAAGGAGACAAGGCAGCCAGACTGACTGACACACACACACACACACACACAGACACACACAGAGAGAGAGAGTCATCATCTTTGAGGTGTGGACAGGATACAGTAATACCAATACTAACCAGACCATTCAATGTACACACACACACATACACAGCAACCCTTACACCAAACATCTCCAGGCAAGGTGAGGACAGAGGATTAACAGCATTCGCCAGAACTTTAACTCAAATCCAAGTACACACACACACACACACACACACACACACTGAAATCACATGTAGCATGAGAAAGGGGTGATGACTTGTCGCTTCCCTTCAAATACCCCAAAACTAACAGAGAGGGAGAGACAGAGCAAACAGGCTGCGGAGAAAAAGCAGGGATCAAATACAGACAGAGAGGAAAAGATATATTACAGCTAATGGCTTCATGCAGTCACACACACACACACAGAGCGCGGTGTGGTGGTGTAATGGGGCGTGATGTTCCTGAGCTCAGCCTGTTACAGGTGACTGAACCCCAAGTATGTGTGTGTGTGTGTAGACAGAGTGTGTTTGTAAGTACCGGACTCTGTCGAACATTTTATTCCACATTAGAACCATTAGAACCGACCCTCTTGAACTCACGCAAACACAGACTCGGGGAGAGAGCTGTGGGAGACGAGTCCTCTCGGGTTTGAGGATGGACAGAGCAGGAGGAGGCGAGATGGATGACAGGAGGAGAAGAGACACCTCCCCTCCGACAGGCAGAGGAGAAGATGAATGATGAAAAGCAGAGACAGAGAGAGAGAGAGAGAGAGAGAGAGAGACTTTCCCCACACTCTGTCAGACGCCATGACAGCGTGACCTCCGCTCTGCCTTCATCTTCTCCCACACTCCTCTGTACCATGTATCCCTCTCTCTTCTTCTCCTTTCTCTTCTGTACTGACGCTGAACCAAACATTTACTTAATTTTTAGGCCAATATTGATTGACTACATTTAATTGTTCGACACTTTGAACCTTTGCAGTTTTACATTGATTTAACTATGTTAAATATGTTTAATTGCATATATTAATTCAGTAAATAAGAGAAATGCATGATTATATATTAAATTTAGTCACTGAACGTTCACAACAGCAGATCACCAGCAGCAGCTCGGACGGAATGACATCGAGCAAAAGCTAGAAGAATAAAATCAAGTGCAAAACATTTATATATTAAAAGACTAAAATGTGTTTTTATAGGTTTTATATTACATTATATTATATAACTATATTCCAACACCTCTACTCCAGAGTCTTTTTCTTATCCTCGTGTGTTCTCCTCTGGGTTTTCCCTCCTCTGATCTTCAGAACGAAATATCTGTCCACATGAATTTATGATACAACCCTGAACATGTAGAAGAAACAGAAACCTGGGGAATAAAGTCATCGTTGGGTTTTGGTTAAAAAACGATGACGCCACAAGCCGTGATCTCAGTTTTCACTGTCAACACATAAAAACTGAAAACTGAACATCTTCACCCAGGGAGGAGTTTTGTAAAAGCTCAGTTTTCATTGATTCTAAAACAACTAAAATTCAAAAGTCTCAGAGGCTTAGTGTCTTCATCTTTGCCTCCCTTCCCTCTCTCTCTCTCTCTCCGTCCTCTCTCTACTGCATTCTTACTCCCTCTCCTGTTTCTACCCTCCCTTCATTTCACTCTCTTCCTCTCCTCCTTCCTCACTCTCTCCCTCCCTCGCTGTCATCCTGTCAGTCAGCAGACGGCTTTTAACCTGCGCGCCCTGGAGGTCAAACTGGTCAGACAGGTTTAAGTGCTTTAAGTGTTCCCAGGCCCATTAAGACCAACAAACAAACCAAAGACGACACAGAGTAATCCCTCCTCCTCTCCCTCCTCGTCTTTCTCTCTCTCCATCTCTGTCTCTTTTCTCCTCAGCTTTTCGTTGTGTATTTCAGGCCACATCTGGACGGGTCAGGGGGCAGCTGCTGTGGAAGTCCAGGTAACATGAAGGTCTCTGTGACCTGGAGGTCCGACCCAGTGAGACTGTTCAGACTGGTCCCAGTGTTCGAGATCACATTAACCCATTAACACCACAGCCAACGAAAACAAACTCCACCAGGGACTCTGAAATCCCCCCCACTTTACTACCTCTCCTCCTCATTTTCCCCCTTTCTCCTCCTTCACCTTTCTCCATCTCTTAACTTTCTTCTCATCCTCTTCTGTTCTGTTTTTCTAACTTTTCTTTGCCTCTGCACCGTTTTTATCCCCGACTTCCTCCTTCTATTTCATTTTAAGCAAAGGATCAAGTCTCATTCTGATTTCCTTGCAAGTTTTCTCCAGCTGTTCTCTCCAACCTTCTCCTTCTTTATGGAATTCCCCCATATAGCTATTTATACACCCAGAGTGGGTACATATCGACTTTGATGGCAGTGTATTTATGTGTGTAACTGGATGATGAGAATATGCACCAGACAGCGTTGTAGTTGTTAGCAACCACTGCTCCACGGGAACATGAAATATGTGACGTAGTCGTTGTGCACATGCAGATGCCCTTTAAACCTGAAATATATTTTTTGTGCAGTGGATTTTGCATTGCAAATCAACCCCATATTCATTTTTAGTCAAGTCTGCATCCCAGTGATGAATTTAAGTCCAGTATTTCCTCTTTCTAAGCTCTGTTTTTGGTCTTCACCGCTCTTCGGCTGCAATATGGTACAATATGTTCACCAGGAGCAGATAGTGTCTGAGGACGGGTTTTATTTCAGGTCAAGAAGTAAAGCAGGTTATTTAATGAAAATCTGATTTTAGAGGTCGCTCTGTGAACTACTGTCGGCTTCGACTTCATTCTGTCTGTGTAGCTAAGTGCTGTCGCTGCCCTCAGGGTTCAGGTTATAGCAACTGACAGCTCAGGTTAAACTGACTTCAGAATGTTTGGAGGAGGTTACAGGTCAAGAAGGGTGGAGATGGGGATCTATACCCCACAAGGAGATGGGAAAGGGGCAAGTGTGCACTTGTGTGTCTATTCTTTCTTCACCATGTGCAAATAATATAAAGAGAGAAAAACAAACTTTGAAATGTGTTATTTGTCCTGTGACATTCCAGTCTTGCCACTGGTTTAAGTGTGTCTTTAAGTGTGTGTGTGTGTGTGTGTGTGTGTGTGTGTG